ATTTGTTGCGCATACTGGACCAAAAGCAAACACAAATAAAACACAAACAACAGATTTACGTGGTTCCCCAAAATCGGGTACGTCCACGGAGGCAGCAGATTGTATATTATTGGAGGAATGATACAAACACTCAACTCAACCCAGTACAATCCCACTTAACCGGGTGTTTCACTCTTACACTCGGTGTTTCTCTCAAATCTGTATTTTCTCACTCTCACAGTTGCACTCACCACACTTTCACTCTTTTGCTCTCACCACAATTTCACTACACTTATTACATTGCTCTCTCTTTATCTCTATTTATAGGAGAGTCTTGGCAACTTGGTTGAGGGTGGTTGAATGGTGGTTGGAAGTGGTTGATGGTGGTTGTTAAAGGAGAGGGTGGTTGATGGTGGTTGAGAAAAAATGTTGACAATTTGCTACAAATCTCCACCTTGGCAAGATTTTTCCATCCAATCTTTGTGATCAATCAATGCTGCCTCTAATGCGCCATATGGCGCTGCACCCTGAAGGTGCTCAACACCGAGAGATGTTGACCAAGTCCAAACAATGTTGGAACTTGATCCCTGAGACACATTTTGTGAGCATGTCAGCTGGATTATCTGCGGTACCAATCTTCTGTAGCAGAATATCTCCTTCATCCACAATTTCTCAAACAAAATGAAATCGAACATCGATGTGCTTGGTGCGGGAATGATGAACCTGATTCTTTGCAAGACAAATAGCACTTTGACTATCACAATGGACATTCACGTGCTCTTGAACAATTCCCAAATCTTCAATCAACCCATGTAACCATATAGCTTCCTTGAAAGCTTCTGTTACTGCCATGTACTCTGCCTCAGTTGTTGACAAAGCTACTGTTGATTGTAAAGTTGACCTCCAACTTACAGGCCCTTTAGCAAGTGTAAACACATAGCCTGTTGTGGAACGACGCTTGTCTAAGTCACCAGCATAGTCCGAATCCACATAACCAACTAAATTTTGTTTGACTCTATCATCCCTCTCAAACTTCAAACCAATATCAGTTGTGCCATGAATGTACCGTTGAATCCACTTAACTGCCTGCTAATGACCCTTTCCCGGATCATGCATATACCTACTCACCATACTGACTGCATGTGAAATATCTGGTCTCGTACAAACCATTGCATACATTAATGCACCAACTGCATTTGCATACGGAATTTGAACCATATACTTGCGCTCTTCCTCTGTGCGTGGAGACATTGAAGCACTTAGCTTAAAATGAGGAGCTAGAGGTGTACTTACAGGCTTGGTCTTACCATCTACCCCAAATCTCTTTAGAATTTTCTTCAAGTATTGGGTCTGTGTCAAACAGATTGTGCCTTTTCTTCTGTCTCTCTGAATCTCCATGCCAAGAATCTTCTTAGCTTCTCCAAGATCCTTCATTTCAAACTCAGTTCTCAGTTGAGCTTTCAGTCTGTCAATCTCCACTTTGCTCTTTGATGCAATCAACATATCATCCACATATAAGAGCAAATAGATGAAAGAACCATCAAGAAGTTTGCGAAAATATACACAATGATCAAATTGACTCCGTGTGTATCCATGTTCTATCATGAACTTGTCAAATCGCTTATACCACTGGCGAGGAGATTGTTTCAATCCATATAGTGACTTATTCAGTTTACAAGCCCAATTCTCTTTCCCAGTGACTTTGAAACCATCTGGCTGAGACATGTAAATTTCCTCTTCCAAATCTCCATGTAGGAAGGCAGTTTTCACATCAAGTTGGGCTAACTCCAAATCAAACTGTGCAACCAAGGCTAGCAGAATACGAATTGATGAATGCTTAACAACTGGGGAGAATACCTCATTATAATCTATCCCCTCCTTCTGAGCATAGCCTTTTGCTACCAATCTTGCTTTGAAACGGATGTTGTCTTTTCCTGGATTACCTTCCTTCTTAGCATATACCCACTTGCAACCAATTGTCTTCTTTTCCTTAGGGAGTTGTACCAAATCCCAAGTCTGATTCTTGTGGAGAGATTTCATCTCTTCATCCATTGCCTCTTTCCATTTTGCACTTTCTACACTCTGTACTGCTTCTTTGTAGGTGCAGGGGATTCCGTCATCAATCACCGGAAGTGCATAAGCCACCATGTTACAATACCGAGCAGGTTTCTTGATAACTCTTTTCGGTTTACTCGTTGCAATGGATTCTTGTTGTGTGGTTGCTGAAGTTGTTGCATCCTCTTCATCTGAACTTTCATCTGAATCTCCTTCAGTAGAGATTTTCTGAACAGTCTTTATAGGAATGACTGAAGTCTCTAACTCCACCTGTTGTGCATCACCAGACTGTTTTTCCTTCTCCTGTGATTTCTCTTGTTGTAACATGCCAGACTCATCAAAAGTGACATCTCTACTCAAAATCACTTTCTTTGATTCAGAACACCAGAGTCTGTAACCTTTTACTCCTCCACTAAAGCCCAAAAATATAGCTTTCTTGGCTCTAGGATCTAGCTTGGACTCAGTAACATGATAATATGTTGAGCAACCAAATATACGCATAGAGTCATAATCATTTGCAGGAGAGCCTGACCATACCTCTAAAGGGGTTCTTCCATTTAATGCTGCTGAAGGTAACCGGTTAACAATATGACGAGCATAGCTTAATGCCTCGCCCCAGAACACTTTGCTTAGTCCTGAATGTGATAGCATACATCGGACTTTCTCTACCAATGTGCGATTCATGCGTTCTGCTACTCCATTTTGTTGTGGTGTTTTACGCACAGTAAAATGTCGTTTGATCCCTTCATCCTGGCAAACTTTAAAGAAAGGATCTGAAGTGTACTCACCACCATTATCTGACCGAAGAGTCTTAACTCTCCTTCCCGTTTGAGTCTCCACCATTTTCTTCCATTTCAGAAAGATATCAAGGACCTCATCCTTGTGTTTCATCATGTACACCCATATTCGTCTTGAGAAATCATCAATAAAAGTAACAAACCAACGATTACCTCCAAGAGATTCATTCTTTGAAGGTCCCCATACGTCTGTGTGAACATAATCAAGAATCCCTTTTGTATTGTGTACCGCAGTGCCAAATTTGACTCTTGTCTGTTTTCCAATAACACAATGCTCACAGAACCCATGCTTCCCAGTCTTGGCGCCTTTTAATAGACCTTGTTTGACCAATCCTTGCAAAGCCTTTTCACCAGCATGCCCTAAACGCATGTGCCAAAGTCTGGAATTATCTGCTTCATCATCTTCTATGCTTTTGGAAACAGCTGCTGTACCGGTAACAGTAGATCCATCCAGGAAATATAAGTTTCCTTTCCTCGTGCCTCTTAAGACAACTAATGCACCACGGATTGCTCTCAGGACTCCACCATGCATGATAATCTTATAACCATTGGATTCTAGGACTCCAAGTGAGAAGAGATTTTTCTTCAGGTCAGGTACATACCGTACCTCTGTCAGTGTCTTGACTACCCCATTATGCATCTTCAGATGGATAGTCCCAATCCCTTTGATCTCACAAACATCATCATTACCCATCAACACAACTCCTCCATCGAACTCCTCGAGTCTCGAGAATAAGTGCTTGTTAGGGCACATGTGATAGGAACATGCAGAATCAAGAATCCATTCACCAGAATGGTTTTCTGGTGATGAGACCATGAATGCAGAGTCTCGTTCATCCTCATCTCGTGCAACGTTCACAGTTGGTTCATCTTTTTCCTTATTGCCCTTGATCGGACAATCTTTCTTTCAGTGTCCCTTTTTATGACAAAAGGCACACTCATCTTTTGCAAGATATCATCTGTTTGATGATTCTCCTCTGGATTTTGAGCGAGATCTCCCTCGCCCTCGAAATCTTTTGGGGTTTGTTCTGCCTCTAACTGTCAATGCTTCTGACGTTGACTCTTTATGAACAATCTGATCCTTCTTCCGGTACTCATTGTTCACCAAAGCATTGGACACATCAATGAATTTAATCTTTTCTTTACCATACAGTAAAGTGGTGACGAGATGTTCATATGTGTCAGGCAGTGAATTCAATAACAGCAGAGCTTTATCTTCATCATCAATTTCCACATCTAAATTCTTCAAATCAGCTATCATTTTATTGAAATCATTCAGATGCTCATTCATAGAAGTACCTTTCTTGTGCTGAAAACGGAAGATCATTTTCTTCAAGTAGAGACGATTCTCTATACTCTTCTTCATAAACTTGTCCTCCAGTGCTTGCCATAATTCCTTTGCAGAGTTTTGTTCTGAAAAGACGTACTTCTGATCCTTTACAAGACAAAGTCGGATGGAACTGCAAGCTAACCGATTTATCCTTTCCCAGCTTTTATCATCCAAATCCTCCGGTTTATCTTCTAGAGTGAAATCCAAATTCATTTGGACAAGCATATCCATGACTTCACATTTTCACATGCCAAAATTACCCTTCCCATCAAACTTCTCCACCTCAAATTTGGTACTCGATACCGGGATATATTGTGGAGGTATACTAGCATTTCCCACTAATTTTTCTTCTGGAATATCAGCCATTAGGACGTCTTTGGATTACAAATAGGCTCCCGAAATTGTTAAAACATGCACTTTTATGCTCAAAAGAGCCAAAACAGTAACTTCGGTGTGCTGTTTCACAAAACGGACACCACGGTTGCGTCCGGAATGGTTGAAAATGCTAGGAACCAACTTGACTCGGCCTAAAACCGGTCAAAACATCACTGAGTTGGCCAAAAAATCAATCTGACCGAGTTAACTCAGGGAAGGAATATTCTGTCTCTGATGAAGAATATTCTGTCACGGAATATTCTCTTACTGTCAACGGAATATTCTTATTCTGTCAAGAGAATATTCTGTCACTGTTAGATGATGTGTCTGATGACATGGCAATGTGGACCCTCTGTTGATGACGTGGATGTTGACTCAGCGCCAACGTGTCGGATGACGTGGCTGTCTTCTCAGGTGAGATTTCCGGCACTGTCTGGTTTTTCCGGCATATTTCCGGCGAAACTTCGGCGAGCTCTACAGGGCTCGTTTCAACTCCGATTTTGATGATCTTTATATCGCCGGACTCGTATCAACGAGAGGAATCTCCACAGGTGGTCAAAATCAAGATCTGAGAACTTTGAAAATTCTGCAACTTTGAACAGAGAGCTGAAAAAGGTGTTTTTTTTAGTGTTCAAGCTTCCCTAATGCTCTGATACCAATTGTTGCGCATACTGGACCAAAAGCAAACACAAATAAAACACAAACAACAGATTTACGTGGTTCCCCAAAATCGGGTACGTCCACGGAGGCAGCAGATTGTATATTATTGGAGGAATGATACAAACACTCAACTCAACCCAGTACAATCCCACTTAACCGGGTGTTTCACTCTTACACTCGGTGTTTTTCTCAAATCTGTATTTTCTCACTCTCACAGTTGCACTCACCACACTTTCACTCTTTTGCTCTCACCACAATTTCACTACACTTATTACATTGCTCTCTCTTTATCTCTATTTATAGGAGAGTCTTGGCAACTTGGTTGAGGGTGGTTGAATGGTGGTTGGAAGTGGTTGATGGTGGTTGGAAGTGGTTGATGGTGGTTGTTAAAGGAGAGGGTGGTTGATGGTGGTTGAGAAAAAATGTTGACAATTTGCTACAAAAACATGATGAACGAAGTGCTTCCTGGCCAGCTGCTTACCAATCTCAACAGCCTACACATGTTTTCATATGAAAAGCAATTAGCATCAATGTAAGAAAGAAACTCTAAAATTCAAAGTGGTGGGAGCCGCAACCTTGTCCATCTAGTTGCCTTCACTTGTTATTTGACTATGCACCAATAATCAGGCAAAGTACTTCAGAAAATGGAGCATGCAAAACCAGAAATAAGAACTAATTTTCATTGCCTTTTTCATTCATTTAATTTTTTTTTCATTGCCTTCTTCATTTGGAAAGTTTTCAAGTTCTATGCATTCTATGGTCAGCAATGTAAAACGTTAGAATCCCTTCTCTTCTTTGCTCTTTTTTTTTCTTAACAGCTTTGGAAATCAATTTAATTCAAGTGTTAAATCAATTTTTTAGTTTGTAATTCTTTTAAGGCTATTGATTTGAATTTTAAATAGAATTCAATTGCTAAAAAATAATCAAAAGTAAATCAAATGAAAGACCCTCTTATTTACTACTGTAATTCTTTTAGAATTAACATTAAAAACAATATTCTAAAAATACTCTTAATAACACAAACTCTACTTTTTACAAAATACTCCACTGTCTCTTTCCTTCTTTTTCTAACCCCCAGTCTCTTCTAACACCTTTCATATCTTTCTTTTCCTTACTCCCTGTCTCTTCTAACACCTTTCATATCATAGGATTGAAATTTAAGCTATCACAAAAGTTTTTGGGGGAACTCTGGTAAGAACAAACATTTTTTCCTATAAATTATTGTTTTTTCTTTTGTATAATTTTTTTTTATCCTTTTTCTGGTTTATAATTTGAATCTGTTATTGTATCTTGTTCTTTTCTTTACTAGGTATGTTAATTTTAGTAAAAAAAAATAGATATTAGTGGAAGCTTGGATGTTTGAAAATATAATAACGATTGTTTTTTAAAATATTTTTTATTTAAAAATATATTAAAATAATATTTTTATTATTTTTTAAAAATTATTGTTGATATTAGTATATCAAAATAATAACTTAAAAATAATTAATTTAAAATAAATAAAAAGTTAATTTTTTTAAAATGCAAAAATAAACAAATTTATAAGATTATGGGCACCGTTGAAAATACAAAACTCAACACAAAACTTATTTATGCACGAGGAGACAAACCAACAAATCTTTCCAAATTTTTTTAACAAATATATATATTTTTTATTTTTTTCAACAAATATTTCATGGCTTGCTGCGCCTGTGAGATTGTCGACCAAAAAAGGCAACTGAAACACGGTAAGAGTGATTGATCCTGCCTGTGTTGTGCAACAGAAATGATGAAGATAGAGATCATCTATTTCTTTTATTGTGATCTCTCCAAAAAGGTGTGGCTTACTATATATTTTGCGGGAGTGTGGTTTGTGTTGGACTGTGGAATGGGGAGTTTGTCAGGGCTAAATGCAAGTTGCAATAAAAAAAAAAAATGCTTCGTCTCTAATCTTCTGGGACTGAGCTGGAATGCTACTGTTTATGACAACTGGAAAGAACATAATAGAAGAGTTCATGATAATCACGGGGTTTTATTATTAATGAACTGTTATTTACACAAGTGCTCTTTCTACTGGCGTTTCACTATTTTCCCAAAAAATTTATATCCTATGCATATATACTAATTTTTTTTGTCGAACTGTAACTGTGTTAGTTTCACTAAAAGCCCTATAAAAAGGAGAACTTTCAGGTTTCAAATGTTGGAAAAAAGGCGGAATTTGGTGCTACGGAAGGAAAGGCCTTAAGACGTGCCCAGCATCATAAAAGCAACTTTGCCTTTCCCTTTTCACCAGATGACATCGAAAGAGTTGGGTGGAGCGGATCCGACGTCTCGGAGTGGTCTCTATCATGATACACAAGGGAGTGCACCCACTCAAATAGCTCCAAAACCGAAAACCAAGAAAATTTAAAAAAATTTAAAAAATCAAATCATAAAAAAAAATTAATTAAACTTAAATTTAAAAAAAAACAACCAATTGGATTTGATTTTAATTATATAAATTTAAAATAAAAAAATAAATCAAATTATACTCAAACAAAAAAATTAAGTCAAACCAAAAAAATCAATTTGAACTAGTTTTTATTCTAAAATAATTTAATTAAAACCAATTAATTTAAATTAATTTGATTTCATCTCAGTTTTTTAAAAAAAAAACTGATTTAATTATTTTATATATATATATAAAAATTAAATCAAATAAAAAATAATTATTATTGTACATGATAGATGATAGTTTTGGCCTTTAGGGGCTTTTTACTAGCTTTTCAATATTAGGACGTTGGGTTGGTCTACTAACCCAAAAGATCAATAAAAACTCAAAAGCCTTAACCGTAATGCGAATCCACCTGGTGAATAATTTTTTTATAGTATATAAAAAGAACAAAATAGAGGCAAGGTCAGAGGTATGAATTAGCTTCTGCTCCCTGAAAGATTAGCAATTGTCTGTGGATGTCCACTTTTTGTATTTACAAATTACTGGTTATTTTGGTGCGTCTATCTCTGTTTTAATCAAAACAATAACTTTAATTTTACTTAATGAACTAACTTATATAGAGATTATGAAAATATCTTCTTCTTCTTCTTCTTCTGGTTTAAAATAACAATGCTAATTTATTAAATGAAAAACTAAATATAATTTTCATCGTACTTGGCCTCCTTACAAAATAAAGACTACCAATCACATGTTATCTCATCATGATGTTAGCATAGAAATAACTTATTTTTTTAGTTGTTCTTGTAAAATATTAAAAAATTTAAAAAATATATTTTTATATTTACTTAAATTACGAAAAAAATTTGAGTACCGTAGTAACCACTTTTTAAAATATATTTTACTTAAATAATATATTTTTTATTTAAAAAAATTAACATCAACACATCAAAATAATTTAAAAATATAAAAAATATTATAAAATAAAATAAAATTTAAGAAACTTTAGCTTGGACAGCACTTATGTATCAAAAGGAGTCAACCAAAGAAGATACTAATTCCGGAGATTTTGGGATTATTTTTCCTGCACCAACTATTATTCACCAAATAATTATCATTTTTTTTAATGGCCAAAGAGTATTCACGGTTTAACATGATAATTTATACTCACATATAATAATGGGCAGGCTTGATTTGGCAACCTATGACTGCTTTTGCGTGCCCACAGTGGCAACTACCAGCAAATACAGCCTTAATCGTGTCGTTTACGAGGATCAGTGAGAACCCTACTGCAATATAGTGATATACTACCAGCACTGATAGCTAATTTAAGTGTGAGATTAATCAAATCATTTATTTATTTTCAACAAACATGGTGGTTAATCCTCCCTCCACAATCTGCGTGATCGGAATGATTGATGTCTGCTTTCCTTAAAGTGGAAAAGTGGAAACACCACCAACTCTTTGCCTTGATTTTCTCTCCCCAATCCACAAAAACAACATGTCTATTATCGTCATTTCAAACTTAAACTAGCATTAACTATCTTCCGAATATTTCCCCTCCTCTCCGCTAATATATTAATCAGGGTCAGACTAGTCAAAGCTTAAACAAAAAGAAAGTCAAACTAGAATTTAGCAGTACCACAAAACTAGCAAAGCTTAGATACGTTAAACGACAGCGTATTTATACGTACCTTCTTCCTGCCGCAATCGAAGTGGTGAATGATCACCTCGACCATCTCATTCCCAGCAAAACAATTCTTAACAATCTTCATCTTCATCAGACGATCCTGGATTGGTAATTTCTGCCTCAAAACCTTCACTATCCCAACCATCTCGTCCTTTGGTTCCTCCTCGTGATCATCAAATCCATACACCAGTGGTGCCGGCGCATTCCCTGAACATTTCTTTTCTAGCATCTCCTTCAACCTCTTCTCAAAACCTCCACTGTTTCTCAACGAATTCAAAGCCACCAAACCACCAAACAATTTCTCGTTGAAAAATATCTGCGGCACCTGAGAATTTCCGGTTCTCTCAATCAACTCTTTCTCTCTTTGCCGATACACGTCAATGTTGATTTCAACAAACTTTAATCCTCTCTCTCTAAAAAACGAACGGACTGCCGTGCAGTCTCTGCAATTTGACCTTGAAAAGAAACTTATCCGTCCTTTAATCTGTTCCTCTTCGTCTTCCTTTTTGAGCTTCACTGTAACTTTGAGTCCCGCTATGTTGAACCTTGTCACGCCCGAGTCGAATGAGTTCACCTTATGATCCATGTTATAATCATCACCGTCATCGGACTTGAAAAAGGAAAATCTTTTTGAAATCGATGCTGATAAGCTGCTGCTTCTGTCCTTGATGAATTTTCCGATGGACGGCATGTCGACGACCGTGAAACTATTAGGCAATGATTTGGATTGGGTTACAACGTCGTCGTTTTGTTGTGGAGAAGGTGTAGATGAAGGTGAGAGACCTGGAGGTGCCTCTGGCATTGGGAGATGAATATCAGGCTGGATTACCTGCATATAGCCGTTGGCTTTGGGTGAAACAGCTATAATATCGTCATTCTCTTCTTTCTCCACGTGATTTCCGGTTAGCGCGATTCTTTCAACGGCATCGTCTGAGGACAATATCTCGGTTGCTGAATCTTGTTTCTCCTCCTCCATCTCTATTTCGCAGAAACCGTCTTCTTGTTGATACTTTTGTGCAGGTTTGATATCTCCAGCTGGATCATCGCAGTTAAAATCTGAGTTTGAATTTGGAGAGGGATGGACGGATTTGGAGAGATTCTCCTTCGCCGATCCTGTTTGAATAATCTCCTTAACGAGATTTCCATCAGCAACTCCGTTTGCCTCTGCTACGTTAATTCCTAGTTTCTCTTGGGCATCAGCCTTGATCAGTTCTCCGTTTGTTAATTCCATTTTGGTAACACAAAAGAAGAAAAAACGAGAAGATATTGTTTTCTATGGACACAAAGGCACAAGATTTTTTTAGAGGGAGGGGGGATTTCGATAAGGTGGGGGTTGAAGACAGCGTTGTGACCGCAGGGGTTTTGTGTATGGAGGATATATATATATATATGGGGAGGGAGTGGGGAGGTTTAACAAATCAAATGCAGCATTTTAAAATTCATTAAAAAAATTAAAACAAACTAGAAGAAGAAGAGGTCAAATACATTCATTAACTCTCTCTCTCTCTCTCTCTCTCGTTTTCTTTGAAATAGGATATTTTCATATCATTTTAAAAGTAACTCTTTTCCAATTAATCCCTCGTGTGGAATGTATGACCATATTTATTACGGGGTGATTGTTATACTTGACCATATTTATTACGGGGTGATTGTTACAGTTCTGGATGTAATTTTTTAAATTCTGGATGTAATTTTTTAAAGTATTTTTAAAAAAAATATTAAAAAATATTTTTTTATTTTTAAAAATTTATTTTTAACATTAACCCATCAACATCAAAATAATTATAAAAATATTTAAAAAATTAATTTAAAATTAAAAAAATTAAAATTTTATAAAACTTGTTGCCCAATTAGACCTCATGTCTAACTTGGAAGTTGATAGGTATATACTCGGTTGAATTGAGTAAGTTACTCCAAATTAATTCAATTGATTATTTAAAAAAAATTATGATGATGTTTTTAGAAAAATAAAAAAAATCAAATTAGTTTTTTACTTGATCTGTTAATTTGTAAGGTTAACTAGGTAATAGCAAGAGGCAGGTTAGGAATTTGGTATTTTTATAAAAATGATTTATTTATTATATTTGATAATTATAGAATTCAATCTCGATAACATAAAAAATATCCAGATATTAATCGTTTTTATTTTTTTTTACTCACGAGCTAGTATTGGTATTTCCTTCTGTAAAAAACTTTCGAGTTAATTTATTACCAAAAAACAATCAACCAGTTTTTGGGTTGAGACCTGGCCGAGCCAATTATATCAGTTGAGCAAAAGAGAATAAAATTAAGATAGAAACAGATATTTTCTTGTTAGAGCTACAATCACAAAGTTGCCTCATAGCCGGCGATGATATTGTGGAGTGGGCCCGCAGGAACAATATTCAACGGAGAAACTGAATATTCTTGTTGCGCTGGCTAAAGATACCCTTCCACGTTATCTGTCTTGGCGAGGATGCGATCGGTCTATTTTTGTTGTGATCGGAAGAAAAGGGCTTCCGTGTAATTTGGCTTCGTTGCCATCAATTACTGTTAATTTAGATACCATGCGTTTAGATGTTTTTGTTAGAAATATATTGAAATTTTATTTTTAATATCAACAAAAATAAATAATTAAAAAATAAAAAATAAAAATAAATAAATTCTAACCCACCTCCATTCAGACCGTGATCTCAAACAAGAACAAGACTTTGTTGACAGAGTCCAGTCCATAGCAGGGCGCCTGTGGTGTGGAATTGGTATCTCCTTGTGATTTGGGATCCAATTGGCTCCATGAAAGGTGGATAATCCTCTAATTTGATTTTGATTTTTTTTTACATGAACATCGCCGACCCAGATTGATTATTATGATTTTCTAAGCCCTTTTAGTCTACAAAAGGTTTGACGCAATCTCGAGTGCATCAAGACCCAAGACTACTTTTAGTCGGGAAGGAAATGAAAGGAAAAGGTAAGACTGGTTCACACGACCAACTGCTGTCGAGGAAAGAACATTTCTCTTGAAGTTATACTCATTATTGATAGTTCGAGGAAGGCAGGATATTTTAGGACTACGTGTTGATCTTGGAAAATAAATAATATCTCGATGTTTGATTTTTCTAGTTGAAATATTCTTTGATACGCAATAAACAGGAAAACGAATCCCTTTTCTATTGTTTTTTACAGTACGAGGATGTATTTTTGCATACTTGAAATTTTATTTTTTTTCATTCAAATGTTTTTATTTTATTTTTTATTTGAGTATTTGTGATTGTATTTTTTGTATTTAAATACTTGTATTTTTTTAAAATTATTTATTAAATGCTTCCACTGAGCAATTTTCATAGCCACATTTGATCAGGTTGAGAGAGAGAATGCTTCCACTGAGCAATTTTCATAGCCATATTTGATCAGGTTGAGAGAGAGAGAAAAAATTAACAAAACTATTTGAATTATAAAAATAAAAGATAACTTGCTCATGAGTTCTTTAATATAAATAATATATATTCAATAAAATATTTTCAGTATGCTACAAAAAATTGATTATTTTATTTAATTGGTTTAGAAATTTGCTAGCACAACATAATGAGCCAATATCTAGTACTGGACTCCTTTTATGATCATCTCTGAGCGGGAATGTATCCCTTCTGGGTTGCGGGCCGTATCCCTGGAAGACTCAGTTGGCTCTGTTTCTGTTTGTGTAGTTTTCTTTTCTTTTCATAAAATAAAAAACTCATTATATCGTGATATTATTGTAAAATATGGCTGGAAAATGGAAGGTTAGTGGTCGACAATCGAGGATATCTAGCCAACTTCACCATTTGGGTGTCACGCAATTCGCTGGGGGTCGGCTAAATTTTTGTAACGTAAAAAAGTGATGTTGGTGTATTTTAAAGAATAAAGAAAATCCACAGCATTATATTATAGAAAAAGATTTAAAAATAATAATAATTATCAATCCTCAATATCAAAATATAAAAAAATAAAACTAAAAATAATTATTAATGTATATAAAAAAACCTAAAAAAACAAGAAACCAATAAATTTAGGTGAGATTATAAAAATTTACAAGTAAGATCACGTGAAACAAGATAATTTAATAAAAAATATAATATGAAAAAAATATGAAACTTGATTTTAAAAAAGTGAATTTAGAAGGATAATATCAAATGAAATAAAAAAGAGTTGCCTCATAAAATACTCAAGTCGTCCGGTAAAACTTGTTACCTATTGCCTCAAAAAGATAGCCTAATTGAAAAACAAAATTGTGAAAGATAACAAAATTTTATTTTTTAAAATGAATAACTTAAAATGATATAATTAAAAAATAAAAAATAATATTAATTCATGTTAATTTTTCAAACTCATGTCGAAATTAATTATCAAACAGAAAACACCTTACATGGAAAACTATTATTTTAAAATTGGACCGGTTTAATGGGCTAATTCATGACCTGAGACTTGGGCCAAGCAAAGTTTCAAAAGAAATCTAGGAAGAATTGACCCTTGTGAAATAGTAAAAAATATAAGTTGACTTGTGATCTGGTCAACTAGGAGCAAATTCTATCAAAATCAATTCATAACTTATTGACTACTTTTTTGTATTAAAAAAAATGTTATTTTAGATTTTTTATAAGGTAAAATAATTTAGTTGATTCGGGCTAACTCAGGTCAATTTATTTAACCTGTAACTTTATAATTATTCTGGATTGACTCTTAAATTGGATACAGAAATGACAAAAAATACTATAAAGACCAATCTTTCAACAAATCAAATATTGGGTAATGAAATATATATATATAAATATATATATATATATATATATATAAAGAAAGAAAGAAAGGAAGAAGAATAGAAGTGAGAGGATAAAGATGTGATTTGAAGAAAAAAGAGGTATATTTTGAAAATTTTAATTAAATGAAAAAAATAAAAATTAACAAAGGCATCTAAAACAAAAAATAAAAATCAAGATAATAAGGATAAGATTTAAAAATAAAATAAAATTTTAAGATTATAGGTCCAATTATAAAACTATAAAACTGAAAACAAATTAAAACTTAATAAAAGAGTCAAGAATATAAATTAAAATTCAAAACACTAAAAGTCAAACTTTAAATATTATTAAACATTAAATTACAAGGTAAAATAAAAAAGAAAAATTATTGAAGAATAAAAAAAACAAAAAATAAAGAATGAAAATTGAATATGAAAAAATTAAAAATCAAAATTATGGATCAAATAATTAAATTAAAAATAATAAAAGGACCAATAATCAAACTTCAAGGGCAATAAAAAGGAGAAGAGAAAAACAAAACGGTAATCAGCAACAAACTATCATTATAATCACTATATATGCCGCCCCAAATCTCCAAACATAGTAAAAAAAGCCGACATCTCTTTTTTGATTAGTTGCTTATGTACTACTAACATGTAGCACAAGTAAACAAGTGCCAATAATATTTTTAATAATTTTTATAAATGGAAAAGAACTAGATTAATAATAACAAAAATACATAGGAAATGACACAAACACTCTTGAACGCAAGGCTCGGCAAATTTGATTTCAGGGGCAATTTAAGCAATCTAATTTTTTAAATAAAATAAAAAAACTAAAAATGCCCCTTGATGCTAATTAAAAAAATAAATTCTAAGTGTGATTTAGTAATTTTATCACTCAATAAAACATGACCTATAAATAAAGTTCCCTATGAATCTGGCTATGACATTTGTATTCTAATAAAAATACTAAATTACCCTCTTAGCATGGTTATATGTTCTTATGTGGTAGGGGCAAAACAGTAAATTTAATGTGCAAATCCACAATAGATTGCGAGCTTATACACTAAATACTGATCGCTTTTAGCTTCTTTTTTTAAAAAATACTGATCGCTTTTAGCTTCTTTTTTTTTTTAAATTACTGTAAAAAAAGAAGAAGAAGAATTTAGAATTAGCAGCTGAGATAGACTTTTTAATGATTTAGGGCTCCATGACTGAGATGAATGTTACTCCAAAACCTTTTCCATAAAACACTTACGGTAACTGTATTTAATAAATAATAATTAATAACTGGTGTGGTGTTTTTTATAGCAAGCCCTACAACAATGCACAAGAAATTACCGGTTAGAGGCAAAGCAAAACAGTAATTACTGTGCATAAATAAATATTCACGAGCACTCCTATCTCAAAATCTTGATGTTTCGAATATCATATGACATCCTATGAAAACGAGGAACATGCATTTGACATGTAGTGCACGATAAATTAATATTTCGAGAGAAATGAATTCTTTTCTATGAAGATGTGTTCAAATTGATTAAATAGTAATTGAATCTCATGGGTAGGTGATAAATAAATAAATAAAAGACATGGGTAGGTGATAAATAAATAAATAAATAAAAGTTTGTTATCTTTTTAAATTGTATCATATTAAACAAACTTTGAAACTAGCTTTCAATATA